TAAGAATTTCACGGACTTTCTTGCCTGGGCTGGTTTTGAACTGAGATCCTCAGATCTCAGCCTCCTGAGTAGCTAGGATTACAGGCATGAGCCACCAGTGCCCTGATACCTCCTACTTTTCTTATGTTTAGAAACCTTTTAATTGTTTGCGCTGTTCCAGTACCTTCCACAGTCATCACACATAATAGAAATGGACCAGTTATTCACTGCAGCATCAATGGCATTGGTGTTTCATGAGGAGAAGAAAAAGACTTGATATTTTGAAACACTTGGCTATTTAGGGAAAATTAAATTTTTTTTTGATGTTGTGGAACCTGAACTCTGGGCCTGGGTGCTGTCCTTTAGTTCTTCAGCTCAAGGCTAGTGCCTTACCACTTGAGCCACAGCACCACTTCCAGCTTTTTTCTGCTTATGTGGTGCTGAGGAATCGAACCCAGGGCCTCATGCATGAAAGGCAAGCACTCTACCACTGAACCAACTTCCCAGCCTGAAAATTAAAATTTTAATGGCTATTTGTAAAATAAAATATCAGTAAAATATTACAAATACTATAATTATGCTTCTCTTTAAGCAGTAAATATAACAAATATAAATTGAAATGAATATAATTATAGACCATCTGGAGGCAAAATTGGAGGGTGTTCTGGTTTCGGGAGAAGATAAAAAGGTACACTGCAGATTACACTATCATTTTGTAGATTGCTCTTTTTAGATGCATGGGCTTGAAGGGTACAAAACACCACACAGGTCTTGGCCATCCGATGCTCCATCCATCTGATAACTGAGATGGACAGCCATTATGTCCAGCCATTATGGAAGACTTCAGGGAGGGACTTTATCCATGCTAGTACAGAAGATGGGGGCTGGGAAAGCTGTGTGGAGTTACCAGATGTGTGAAATCTGCAAGGGCCTTGAACACAGCACAGCCATGGAAAAGGAGGTTCCTGCAGAAGTACTCACAAGAGTTAAGTGTGCAGGGCAGAAGGAGCATGAAAATTCAATGGGTTTGTTGTGACAGCGATAGGAGTGGCTGCCACTCATGATAAGAAAGCTCTGTGTGTGTGCGTGTGCGTGTGTGCATGTGTGTGTGTGTGTGTGTGTGTGTGGATGGGTGGGTGTGAGTGTGAGGGAGAAAGAGCTAGACAGAGGGGCAGAGATAGAATATGAATGGACATGTACTGTGAGAGGAACACCACCAAAATGCAGATGACTACAATTTGTATCTGCATGTGAGATCTCCTGTGAGCATTAGACTCATATTTAACCTCACTGTGATCTGAAGCATCGCAAGTTAGCATGTCCAAAAGGGACTCTTGCTTTCCCTGCACCTCTTCTTGGTGTGGGTTTTCCTGACTATCACTCTTGAAGGGACTCTATGCAGTAGTTTAAAGTAGTGTGCAACTGCTTGTCTAAAACTGACTTAGATACAGGCTGAGCATGTGGGGCAAGCTTCCATTCCTGGGAAGCTCGTTGGAACGGATACATTTTTCACCTATGTCTGTTTCAAACCCTCTGTGGCCCTGTGACTGATTTTATGTGAGTGCTGTGCCTGCAGAAATGTGCTTCCACAAGCATCTCTCAGGGTTGTTTATAGGCTCCTTCCCGTCTCTTAGGCAGAAAACAGTCTAACGTGCTTTCCATAGGGATGGACTGCCCACACACATACACTGATAGGTATTTTATAACACAAAGTAAAAGTATTTTCAGGTTGTTGTTTTTTTTCAGTCATGGGACTGAACTCTGGGCCTAGGCGCTGTCCCTCAGTTCTTTAGCTCAAGGCTGCTCTACCACTTGAACCATAGCACCACTTCTGGTTTTCTGAGTGGTTTATTGGAGATAAGAGTCTCACGGACTTTCCTGCCTGGGCTGGCTTTGAACCGTGATCCTCAGATCTCAGACTCTTGAGTAGCTAAGATTTTTAGTTTTTAATTTAAAAAATTTGGGAAGGATATTGGGGTTTGAACTCAAGGCCTTATTCTTGGTAAGCAGGTACTACTTAAGCCATGCTGTCAGTTCTTTTTGCTTTTGTAATTTAAATGAGGTCTCCTGTTTATTACAGGTCAGTCTGGATTGTACTCCTTCACTAACTTTAGCAGGGATGACAAAATACACCACTGTGCCTGGCTTTTTATTGGTTGAGTTGGGGACTCATAAACTTTTTGCCCAGACTGGCCTTGAACAATGATCCTCTAGATCTCAATTTTCTGAGTAGCTAGGATTATAGATGTGAGCCATCTCGAAAGTATTTTAGATAAGAGAAAGCAAATCTCTCCTATAAAAACAACACTAGATCTAATCACCTTACATTCTGTTTTTTTTTTTTCTTCAGTCAGTCATAGGGCTTGATCTCAACACCTAGCACTGTCCCTGAACTTTTGTGCTAAAGGCTAGTGCTCTACTACTTTGAGCCACAGCTCCACTTCTCATTTTCTGGTGGTTAATTGGGAGTTAAGAGTCTGTCTTAGTGGTGGAACCAAGTTCCTTCTCAGCATTACCAGAAGTATTCTTAGATATGGGATTTACTATTATTACTATTATGAATGCCACGTATTTCCTTGCAGGATACCTAATATTATTTCCCTGTTACTGAAAAATATTTCCATTCCCTGCAAGTATAATATTTGTTGTAAGTTTATTATTTGAGACTTGAAGTCTTAACAACTGGTGATTTCTTCATGCCCCATCTCTTCATACAAGGGTGTGTTCTTACCCCCACATCTTGCTGGAGTTGTTGCATGCTGGTGAGACCCCCAGTTCTGGAAACTTCTTTCAATGGACACAGCAGTGTTTTTGTCTTACCCTTAAAAAACAACCAAGAAAGCAGCAATTTGTTTTAGCAGAATGACTTCTCACTGAGGGGAATAAATGCCTGATTGTTGAGCAGATCCCCTTGTGATTTCAGCTGCCTTGCTTTTTTTTCCTTTACATCAGGAAAGCATTGGTATGATTTCCAAGGAGGCAATCTGTTACCTGAGATAGGCCTTTAATACTGGACCTGTGGGTGGACATGGCTTCTTCCGCGTCTCCAGTTCTGAGTTCAGTTTTCACTGTATGATGATGGGGTGTCCATTCAGCCATATCATCATGAAGCAAACCAGAGAGCCAGTCCTTTTTATAGATATGGCCACAGCCTGTGTCATTCTGACCACAGCATTTAACAATTTAACTGAGGACACTAGCAAAATAGCATGAACTTTGTGACTGTATTTTCTTCAGGCTTGTTCTTGGATTGGTTAAGCTTTAGAACTGCTCTTTTTTTCCCTTACTGTGTAAAGCTCATCCATAAAGTTAGAGGAAAGAGAAATCTGCTATGATCATTGAATTTTGTTACTTTCAGTCAGCAGCTATGGTGAATATTGATATTTTTTCTTTAGATGAGATTCTTTTCCCTTGAGGTTCAACTTAGTGAAAGATTCAAATTCTTCTTTATAATACATAGGCCTTTTCTCTTGTAGATTTCTGTGATTTTTAAATTGATATTACAAATTAATTGGGAATAAGTGAGATTATAATATTCCAGTGATCTTTCTACCATCTTGACATCTTTACTCGCTTGTAGGATTTATTAAATAGAACTTCATAACCTAGTACTTTTTTGACCATTATTGGTAATCAATCGGAAAGCACAGTCTGCTGACCTAAAGGCATGGTGAACATTTTTATGAGTTAATGTGGTGTTTTGTGAAGGAATCAAAACAGTCTTGAATGGGACAAGTGATGGGTCTACAGTAACATATATGAAAAAAAACTGGAGCTGGGCATTGCTGGCTCACACCTGTAATCCTAGATACTTAGGCAGCTGAGATCTGAGGCTCATAGTTTGAAGCCAGCCTGGTCAGGAAAGTTGGTGAGACTCTTATCTTTAATTAAGCACCTAAAGGCTGGAAGTGGATTTGTGTCTAAAGCTCAGGAATAGAACCCAGGCTGTGAGTTCAAGCCCTTGGACCAGCACATTTGCGCACGCGCGAGCGCGCGCGCGCACACACACACACACACACACACAGACACACACACGACTGGGAAAGATACAACAAATTTGAGAGGACTTCTGAATGTGCTTAAGTAACAGAGGCGGATAGCTGTTTGTGTTGTCGCTGTGAAGATTCCTTGGTAGTTTTCCTCACACACATTGCCAAGTAGGAAACATGACCTCAGAGATGGGAACTTCCATTCCATGTTGGACAGTGATTTCTCTCAACTCTGGAAACAAAACCTCTTTTACAGTTCTGAGCTTGATTTTCAAACCTTAGGGTTTCCCACATGGGTGTTTTGAGAAAGTCTGAAAATTCTTTGCTCTATAATAAAGAAGGATGTGAACACATACCATCTGAGAAAAGCAGTGAGTGAGAGGGAAATTGCTGTCCAAAATGTCTCTATATGATCTCAGATTCCCATACAACTTACCTAAGAAACACACACACATATGTGCATTCTTGCTTCTGCACACATGCACAAACACAAGAAAGTATATAAAAGTTTAAGTTTCTTAATAGGTTTTTACTTTCTTGTCTGTATTCTCAGCACAGTCTGAATGTTAGGGCTGCAGATACACTGCGTACTGAAGAAGAACTGTGGTGCATATTGGCAGCAGGAGATTTGGATAAACTAGAATTCTTACAGCTCCCCAGACACTGTTTTCTCTATAGTTTTTGTAGGAAAAAAACAAATACAAGGTGGACAGCTTGTAAAAATTGATCTTTTTTTCTAGTCAGGTACTAGTTTGCCACTTTTGAAGCAGGAAAATGTTGATTTGTACTAAAAGAGTCAACTGATAAAGTATGCTGTCTTTTAGCAGGTGATACTAATGCAGTTTCTGATTAGTACCTGTGGTTACTTTATCTGAATCTCTAAATACATTGCTCATAGAGGCTGATAGGTGAGGCTTCAGGCAGTGCTGTCCTGTTTTGACTGTCATTTCCTCCTTCCAGTGTTTCGTTGCCTTGAACTCATCATTTCTTGAGTGGTGGTGGCTCCTACATGCATTATGTTTTTGCTTTCAGGATTAGGGAAATCCTGAAGGCATCTCGAAAACTGCAAGGCGATCCAGATCTGCCGATGTCGTTTACCTTGGCCATAGTGGAGTCTGACTCAACAATAGTCTATTATAAGCTCACGGATGGATTTATGCTGCCAGACCCACAGGTCAGTTTTGAGGTAACTGAGAGTCAACAGTGAACGCAGAGGAAAAGTACGACATGATTCTAAGCTATTTGTACAACGACTGTTCCTTTTGCCACTTGAAAAATGCGACAAAAAAGTATCTATTTTTATACTTCAGAAAACTGGCTATGATTTGGGCAAAGTAACATCTCCCTATTTATTTTTGCAAAAATAATTTTATTCCCTTTCTCTGGAGAATGTCATAGTTTTCAGACTATTTCATGAAGCCACCATTCATTTAGTTATGTAGTGAATAAATGAAGTCGAATGTAAAGGCCAATAGTAGTTTTAATCAAATGAACACTTCTTAAGAAAATCTGTTAGCTGGCTGACATTTTTACAGGAACATTTTAATAAAATAACTATTTCATGCATGATATCTTTACACACTTTGCTGGCATAATTGGGATAATTAAATATCTTTCTGATTTTCCTCTTAAGTTACATTCTTTAGTAGGGAAAAGATGTATCTTGATCCCTTTTTTATGTTACAGAATATTTCCCTTAGAAGATGACATCTTTGCTTGTCAACGCCTTGTGCTCACGAAGGATTGGATTTGAGACTCGTCAGCCTGCTCTAGCTTGTACCTCAAGATATTCTGGTTAACATAGCTTGTCCATCTCGTAAGTTTTTTTTAGAAAAAATTCTCTCAGATAAAAGAATTTGTGTTGTCAGAAACATAGAGTAGTTGCTGGAGAGCATTCTGGGGACAGTCTGCATTTGTATACAAGTTATGGCAGGATGTGTGCAAAGAAGAGAATCTGTGTGCTGCCTCTGTCATCACATGCACAGCTGCCGCCGTGAACTTGTTGAAGTCGCCCCTCTTTCCCTTCTTCAGCCCTTTAGTGCCTTTTAGTCATTTCAGCCAGCTTGGAATGGCACTTACATGGCCTTAGACCCCTGAAGAATTTTACTACTATCTGCTTTCATTCCCAGTAGACACTGAAGGATTCTTTTCTGTGGATTCTTTTTTCAGTCGCAATTTCCTCTTCAGTTGACTTTAGGTCAGAACTGAAACTACACTCCTCAGGAGTGTAAGTGTACATGGGTAGAACAGTCAGGACCTCTGACTGCTACCTACAGGAACACTGGGCCTTTTGTCCCACCATCCTTCTATCATAGCTATACTACTGCACGAGATAGTGTGGAAGAGAGTGTCGGCCCTAAAGACATCTTTATTAACTAGACCTAGTCATTCCACTTTTCTTAATCCTCCAATTATGTTGTACAAAGTATAAAAATTATATGTTCAAATGTTCTCCAACTAGCATTACTTTTAATATTCCCACTTGTGATCCACTTAAAAGATTAGGTCAGGAATGTACACACTTTCTTAAAGGGCCAGGCAATAAATGGGCCTTGCAGGTCATACAATCTGTCCTAATTGCCCAACATTGCTGTTTGTAGCATGAAAACCATCCATAGACAATATGTCAACCATGAGTCAGGCTATGTTATAGTAAATTAAAGCTTTATTTACAAATGTGGGCCTTCATTTACCATCCCCTGGTCTAAGCAGTTAATAAACCTGTCTATGGGTAGTACCTTGAATAGTCATTAGAAATGGGTATATATTATGACAAACATGAGAAAATGTTACAGTGAAAACATTACAAACTATGAAACTGTGAGTGAATGTGAACATGGCTGCAAATGACCCCAGCATGTAACAAGAGGATGATAAAGCAAGATTATTACCTGTGGTATAGTAGCAAGCGTGGCATGGTAAATGAATAGGTGGCTTTCCTTCCCCAGCATTTCAGTTTTTATTTGTATTACTTTTCTAATAAAATGTTACAAAATAAAAAGTGTCCTGAACTCTGTATCCATATTTGTCATTGTCTGGTGAGATTCACAGCTTAAAGCAGCACACACTTAAGATTGCAGTCTGGAGGGTGAGTGACGTAGGCCTAGGTTGGTAATCTGCCTCCAAGCTGTTGACATACCTGGGGAAAGAAAGGTCTGATGCCTCTCTGGTGTGCTGCTAGCAGTCTTCTATTCCTTGCAATGGTCTCTCTTCCCAAAGGTGTGACAGAAAGCCATTCTTGGCTTCTTGCCACACAGGTATTCCCATCATAACTCTACTTTCTCCAAGCCAGCAAGGAGGCATTTTGGGAGGATGCACCTTGTCGTCTAGTGTAATAAAGTCATGTGTGTCACGTCACCTTTGCCATCTGCCATGGGGCTAGATGCAGGTCGCAGGCCCCACTTACTTTAAAGAACAATAAGGAATGGAAAAGACAAACCTTACGAACATTACAGAGTGGAATAGAGCATTTTTTTCTGTTCTGTAGTTATTCCTAGATCTTTGGATATTTGAATTTCACTTCTGTCCTTGATGAAGGTGTCTACCGCTCCTTCAGATTCCCTTTGCTTTCTGGGAAGGCCAGAAGATCCACCTATTTATACCATGTGCTCTATAACTCCAATTGCCAATTTGCAGATCTGCACATTCTTTTTTTTGGGGGAGGGGGAGGGTGGTGATCCGGTTGTGGGGCCTGAACTCTGGGCCTAGGCGCTGTCTCTCAGCTCTTCAGCGCAAGGCTAGTGCTCTACCACTTGACTCGCAGCGCCACTTCCAACTTTTTTCTTTTTGCTTATGTGGTGCTGAGGAATCGAACACAGGACCTCATGCATGCAAGGCAAGAGCTCTACCACTGAGCCACCTTCCCAGCCCCATGCACATTCTTAAATAGTGTGTGATAAATTTTTAAGCTCTCTCTAGTCCTCTAGGGCTTCTGTGATTCTGTTTGAGGACTTTTATCACAGTGCTGCATAAACAGCTGCTTAATGACTGTCAGATTTCCACGTCCAGAAATAGGATGACTACAAGCCTCTGGGTACCGACAAGACCAGAATATCTTGGGGCTGACTGTGAAAGGCCCTTTCTCCAATCTGTAAAGCCAGGATTCAATCTCACTGTACATCTTGGGATGCTTACTGTATTTCAGAATCTTCCCTGTGTACTTGGCCAGTGGTGTTCTGTCCACAGCCATCCAGATACCTGCTAAAGTGAATAATGGTCCAACACTGTGTAAGTAGAGGCATGCCAGCTGTGTCTGTCTCATTTTAGTGAAAAACTAGGCAAAGAGGTTTTGTTAAATTTTATAGCTGAATACATTTGTCAATCTTAATAAACTATGAGCTTAAACAAGAAGCCATGTCTGTCCCAACACTTTCTGCACTAACTGTCACATAGTAGACTTTCCGTAAATATTTGGAGAACTCATGCATGTTAATTATAGACTTGCCTGATTATACAGTTTTGCCTCTAGACAAGCCAAAATGATCTACTTGAACACCAGAGGGCGCTATGAGATAGCACATTTATAAATTTTAGGAATCTACAATTTGAGATTAACTAGATAAGTGCTCTGAAAATTTGTTTCAGTCTGTGGGAAGTAACATAAAAGCATAATTTAGTTTTATGTGCTGACACCTCTCCTTGTTTTTTTTTATTGTGAAAATACTGTATAGAGGGGTTACAATTACATGGGCAAGATAATGAGTACATTTCTTATGAAGCATTGTTGCTTCCTCCTTTGTTTCCCCTTCCCATCCCTTCCAATCTCCCCCCCACTTCCCCCTGCTACCCCCTTTCTCCTCCACAAAAGTTGTAAAGTTCGTTTTTTGACATAAAGACTTGTACATCTCATTGCAATGGGTCCACCTGTATCCCTATTTAAACGATTTGTTTTTTCCCTGCCCCCCCCCCCAAATTATACCAACATCAAATACAGTGAAGGCAGGGGTTATACCATTGACACCCTCTCTTCTCACAGGCCTCTAAAATTACCTTCTACTGGCATTAAATACATAATTTGATTCAGGCTTTGCTCGAAATATAGATCTATATTTAAAAATAAAAGCCTTCGGGGGAGTGTGGATTTTTTTTTTATAGACTATGGTTTTGTACAGATCCATGTGAAAGTAAAAGTATGCGTTTTGTATTTCCTTGCAGAATCTTGATGTTCTCTGAAGCTCAGGATCAATCACATAGAGGCCTCAGCTCGGAAGCATTCTCTTACTAGCTAGATCCCCGTGGTAACGGAGGGAAGCTGCTGCTGCAGTACTTTCAAGCCCTCTTGCAAAAGGGGTGTGCTGTCTAGCTGGGGAGAGGCTTAGGGAGGGGCTTTCCAGGGTTCTCTATGTTGCCATCTTTGCCATTCTTTTCTGGAGTCCCTGGTCAGCATTCTTCCTGCTGGAAAGGCCCAGGAAGCAGTGTCCCTACGTTCAATGGCTCCAGCTTAACTTACCTTGCCTCTCCTCCCTGAACCTCTTTAGAAGTTTCCAAACTCCATAGATCTGTAAAGAACATGAGGGCAGAGGCACTTCACAATTCCAAGTCACAATTAGAAATATAAAAGGATAATCTCTGAAGTTTACATGAGCTGCATTCTTTCTCTTCATTTCCTCCTTCTCTTCCTCCCCACCCCTCCTTACCTCCCTCCTTTTTTTCTTTGTTTCATAGGCCTGAATCAAAACTTAATGGTGGTTCATGTCATTCAGAGCATTTTGATCTGAGTTCCAGTCTGAGGTTATTTTTTCTATTGTAGCCCCTAGCAAGAGGTTTCTTCACAAAGATCTCTCAGTGGTTCCTGCCAAGGGATAGATCTGCTCAGAAGCTCCAGATGCATCAGCCACTTTTTACTTTGACTGTTTATGGTATACTGTGTACTCCTCGAGGCCCTAAGAGTGTGCAACCTCCTCTCCTTCCAGACTGGTAACACTTACATTCCTTACCACCACTGCCCTGGTAACCCAGTCCTTCTCATCTTCTTTCAGTAAGAACGGTCATGCCCACTAAGGATGGGAAGATCATGTGTTGGTGGAACTACTGTAGTACCCAACCATATTGTGCATCTTTTAGTGCCTAGAGATGATTCTGAAAAGCATATCGCAAATAAATGTAAGCAAAAAATCAAGACTCTTTTGGTTTCAGGATTACTGAGTAGAGGTATTTTACACTTCATCCATTCATTCTCTTTAGACATTCACTGCTATATTAATTAGCTCAGGCAGCAATATGGAATTACTAAGGTAGATTAAAGGACAGAAAGTTATCTGTTCACAGTTCTGTGGCAGGAACTTCCAGGTACTGATTGGAATGATTTAAGTTGTTTCTCTGGCTTGCTGGTGTCACCGAGTTGTGTCTTATTTTGGTCTTTCCTCAGTGTTGCATGGACAGAGAGCATGCTATTCTGAGACCCTTCCTCCTCTAATATGACACCCCACCCTTGGCAGATCTATTAACCCCAATACTTTCTCCAGTCACATTGGGTATTAGGGCTTCACCACATTGATAAGGACTGAGGAAACAATACCATACATTATAACTGGAGTCCTTGTATGTGCTGAGATATGGGCAAGTTCTGGGGAAACAAACATTAATAAGATGGGACTCTCTTCCTCAAATAACTCAGTCACTATAACACTCCTTTGTTAGAACTCCAGAGCACGTTCATTGTGCACCAATGGAAGAATATTTGTTATGAGGAGTATAAAGTTTATGCACTTTAGGCAATTTGCTTAAGGATGAAGAGTATCAAGAACTTTGGATAAAGTTTTCAAGCACTCTTTGTATGTGTATTATTTGACTCAAATGACTCCACCAACATTGGAACAGATAACAAAACAAATTTGCATTGTACACCTCTCCATGAGCATATTATCTAGCTAGAAAAAGTTTTTTGGTTTTCTTGTAGTATTGAGGATCAAACTTAGAGCCTTGTATATGCTAGATAAGCATTCTCCCAATGATCTACATCCCCAACTGAACTGTCTGGCTAAAAAAGAGAAGATCTACACATGAAATATTTTGAGAACACAGCAAGGCAGTATGGTCCATAAAAGCTGAATTGTAACTGTGTTGTATTTTGTTGGGTAAGTGCTTCTTTACCCATTATCTTGATCTTCACAGTAGAGCTGATGTTATTACTGTTATTTTTATCATGAACTTATCCTCATGGAGGGATTTTAACACTGAGTGGCTGAGTGATGTTTCTGTGGTAGGAAGTGAGGAGGTGGGTAGTGAAGATTAGAG